AGATAATGTCAGTGACAGGACTGTTGAGTAACTGCACATTATCAAAACTCTGGTTGACACTGGTCATGCTCTACTGTAGAGAAGCCTGCAGTAGTGTTGCATCCAATCATTTTCACTAAGTATCAACATGAGCCCTGAGGAGGAGAGGGCTAATGGGGAACATGGAGAATGGGAGGAGGGTGACTGCCTGGAAATGTCCTTTTCCAGCCACACTTTCCAAACCAATTTTTAAAGCATTGCCAAGTATCTTAAGAGATTTTTCAGGGCAAATGGATTCACATTGCTAAATACTTCCTACAGACACCAGAACCAACATAAGTATGCTCCAGAGGAGATTCCCAACTCACCACAGGAGGAAACCATCTTCCATTTGTCTCCCTCTTATACTAAAAAAAAGTACAGAACATCCTGTCATCTTGGCCAAATTAATTCTTCCCGTAACAAACTTCAAACAAGAAACAGCCGCGCGTTCTTATCTGCAGAGTTGTAGGCAGGATCAAGTGTTGAATAATCCAAACTGTTTCCGTTACCTCACTGCCTTCCTAATAGCAGAACCAAGCTGATCTGAACTAGCTATTCCTGTACTCAGTCTGAAAAGCATATAGTTGAGTTACCTACACAAATCCTGGGAACCTGACAGAAGACATCTGCAAGTCTCTCCTGCTGACTGTGAAAGGCCCAAACCCACTGATCAGTAGCAGACACCAAAACGAAAAAGACAAAAAAAAGTTTAGACTAAAATCTTGTCACACGAAAGAAAAAAAAAAGTTTGTGGGGTTTGGGAAGGGGGGAGAAGTATTTTCTAACACAACAAATACACATCACACTGAAAAAAATACACAAAATTAAAGTCTCATGACTGACTCAATCACCTGAGTACTTTCTTTTGGGGATCTAAACATAAGACAACTTTAAAACCAAAATCCGTAATTTCTAAAAGCATTTCTGCTTGTTCCAAGACAAGCTATTAAAAACCAATATTAACTCAATGTACAATACTTAGAGTACTATGGTTTATATTTCTGTCCTGAAGTGTTCTCTACCTAACCTCGAAGAGTTAAATATTTCAAAATCAGTAACTCTGAACTGCAGAATAAGTACTCTTAAGAAATAGAACAAACATTTATAATGTACATAGAATCAAAATCAACCAAATCTCTTGCAGTTTTTTGGTGAGTGTTCCTAGTTTCACAGCAGAGAGACGTCATGGAAAGAAGAGCACGAGAAATTGAAACAGCAGATGTTTCAGTAAGCTTAAGACAACCTTTCTAAGTGATAAATTAAGATTCCTGATATTTACTGATTTTAAGAAATTTACTCAAAATTTAGATATTATAACTGTAAATTAAAACTAAAAACTTTCAAAGTAATACAGCTTAAGAAATCATTTTATAAAAGGAATGGATTCAGCAACAGCAGATAAGCACTCCTTTTAGCTACTTAAGTTTGTAATCACTTCTATTATATGCCAAGAATACACTGACTGAATTACAGGGGTATAATGTGATTCATGCTAGCATCTGCATAAATACTCTGAAAAGTTCCTGCATGACAATGTAATGTGGTTGCTTTGTTTGTTTGACAACATTTAAGAAAAGTACTGTTCTTTGTATGATATTCCAATAACAGTTCACAATTTCATGTACATATACTTAATGGACATTAAGACAATATGGCATGTTGGCATTCTGGTCATGAAAAATTGATCTGTGTTCTTCAGAAAGCATGTTTATTCTCTTACCAAAATTATTAACACAGTAATTTTCACTAGAAGAGTGCTTGAATCTTAAGCACAGGACACAGAAATCATTCTGCAACTAAGATGTCCCAAATTCTTGAGGAACAAGCAGCACTCACATTCGCTATACTGCAACAATTTGAAAAAAAAAAACCAAAATAAATTTCAACAAATATAATGAAATATAGTTGGTTTACTTACTTGTTCTTAAAAATTATCTTAAAAATAGACACTTTTCATGGTTATTTCATCCCTAAGCTACTCTGTTAAGTTAACACAACCCAGCACAGCAACGGTCACCCATGTAATCATGCTGGCATAGCGATATCACCTCCTGAGTTAACAAAACCTCTTCTTATTTCTTCTTTTTTATTTTTAACCCTTGGGGTTTCTTTTCTCTGGATGCCTCTTGAACACGTGCTGGACAGGCTGTCGCTGCTCACATTATTAGCTCTGATAAGCACACATCTCTAGGTGGTATAGCTGCAGGCTAAGGTAACGGCCTGTATACAGATGGACCCCATGCTCATGCAGAGAACTACTGAATGTACAGGGGTTCCCCGTAGAGACAGATAGGAAGCTAAGCACAACCAAGAAAACCGTAAAAGCCCATACTTGAAGAATAGCTTTTTCTCCTATACTAATAATACATTCACCACAATTTCCTAGAGACAAAATGAAACACAGGTATACTAACAGAATAGAAAAAACTAAGCCAAAAACAAGTAAAATGAGTACCTGTGCTACTTAACATAAACAGCACCAGTTCACACATCTATGTTCTATAGCAACTGGCTCTCAGGAGTTCTGACTACTTAAATACACAGCTTATACTCTTAGTTTGTAATTGTTTACAGGCAATGGTTTTTATGCTATTTCCCATGATTAACACTATCCTCTTGTACTAACAAGACACATTTATTCCAGCAATAATTTCACAGCAGATTTGAGAGAGAAATTCTCCTGTTTAACCTTCATTTCCCATTTGTTGCTCTCCATCCCTGTATGGATTGAAAGGCGTACAACAAAATAGCTGAAGTGATGCCTTTTTTCAGAAGAAATATGAATGCAGATTTTGTTCATTCATCTAATTAAAAAAAATGCACTGGAAACACTCAGCTTCCACCTCTAACTTTCAAGAAATTTGATCAAAACTGGCCTAGAGCTAAGAGAGATACAGGCAAATCCACAAAGCTTATTTTCCAGATTTTTAACCCACACCCCCTTTCAATGATCCACATTACTAATATTACCAATAAGTAATACACAGATTGATGTTGGTGCCTTCCTTTGGTCCAAATGGTATCAGAAGGACACACAAGATAAATGAGGTGTCCCAGGGCAACAGTGAGTGATCCACAAGGTAAAAGGGGTGACAGCAGTACCCTCAGTCGTCTGCTTGTTTTCAATACACTGTGATATACAGTAGTTTGTGTGTGCCTGTTTAAGTTGATTTATGGATTATACTATATGGTTGCAACTAAATTTAATTCTCAGAAAACAGATGTGTGGTTTAAAAAAAACTTCTGTAAAGAAACTGTGAATTGAAGATTGTGAAAACAACACAACCGCAACCAAACACAAAAATGGCAGAGTTGACACTTATTCCAGCCCTAGTTAGAGCTTGTTGTCCAGATACCTCACAAAGTAACACGATAACAATCTAATCAGTGTTATTTAAAGTCACAATACCAAATCTAGGACTTCACTTTACTATTAAGCCTCACAATTGAAGTCTAGTAGACTATTCTAATAGCAAAAGACAAAAAGCCACACACCATCAGGGAAACACCCGTGCTTAAAAACCAGTGACTTAGGGAAGAACTGTGCAAGTGTAACCACTGACAGAGCAGCTGCTTTCGTGGGAATAAAAAGAAAAGGATTCCTGAAAAAGGTTACAGACAACAGCAAGCATTAAACTTTTTCAAGGCGCTACTCATAGCCATGCGTTTGCAGTAAAGATGTTGGAGCCAGAAAAGCACAAACTGCAGCAGGATGTCATCAGTGTAGTTATCTCTATGAAAAACAAGCCCTTTAAGCAGCAGAATCTATACAGGACTATGCAGTGAAACACGAAATGACCATGAAAATCTTTCATACCACGGGGAGGTTTGCTGGTTATCTTGCAACAGAGTGCTTAAAAGAGTTGTCAAACTTCAAGCATTCTTTTTTTCTTGGCTTTTGTTTTATTTTTATTATTTTTTATTTATTTTACACAAAAAGACAAGTGTTGCAGATTTGCTGACCTTTTCTCTGATGACAGGTGGCTGTGAGTAGTTTGCAGCCTGGCAGACATATTCAAAAGAAATAAATAAACCCATTTGATGTGTCCCTCCAAGGTGAAGTTGATGCTTCAGCAAAGAGGGAGAAATAACTGCTTTTCAAAAGATACTTGTGCTATGGAGAGATCATTTTGAAAATGGATGTTTAAAAATGTGTCCATTGTTATTGACTGTTTCCGAAAACAATGCGAGCGTCTCACCTATAAAACCCTTTCATATATCTGTATGGAAATCAAATTTTCTAACCTATTTAAAAATCACAGAAAAAGTTTCAGCAGGATTTGAACCTATTTGTTAAATTTGTTAAATGTGTAACACAATCTGATTAGCTTATTTCATCTTTATCTCATTCTTTAATTTCTATTTTTGCACATTTCGTAATGTACACAATATACTAGTACAGTGAACATATTTCTATTTAATAAATAAGTCTACATATTTTGGGTACAGTGTGCTCAAACTTTTTTTTTTAACCAGTAATATTTAGAAGAAACTAAAAAATACCAAATCAGTAAGCATCAGCCTAAAACAAATTCTGTCTAATAAGGTATCTCCATGCACATCCATCACTAAAGCACTGACAAGGGACAGGATACACTTTGTAAATAAATCTGTAATAATAAAGAAGGCCCAACCTGAAGGGTCACACAAAGCAATTTCATCTACACAAGCATCAAATAATATAGACAAGTAACTCTTACGTTTCTCCCTCATCACACAATCCAAATCAAAACATGGAAAGTTTTCTATCAGTCAGAACCAATCAGGAACAAAGTCATTTTGATAAACACTCCACACTACCAAGCAGCCAAGGCCAACATGGCAGATTTATATACAAACTGTATTATTGGTTTCACAGCAAACATTAAGATGCTGATCATACATATTAATTCTCTGACTATTTGCCTCCAAAAACAAGGATTATGTTCAGGGCACAAAAGTGAATACATCAGATCTCCTGATGTACATTTGACTCTTACCTTGCACTTTATCAGAACACAGCTCCTTAGCTCGGTCTCTCATTATTTGTGGAATCAAGACATCTTTTTCTACATGTCTCAGCTTAGAATTCTCTGCAAGAGAGACAGAAACAAAAATAAAAGGAAGATGTTATTTTTCTAAGCATCAGAGAAAAATTGATCCATGGAAATAGCACAACACTGTTTATAGAACAGATACTAAGATACTGTCACAAACCAACAGCAGAAAATACCATGGAAAAACTACATGCTGAAAAGCAGAAAAGTCCCAAGATTTGAAATGACTCATATACAGGCACAAGCATTATCCTGAACATTTTCTGTTCTGCTCAATGTGCAAAATGAACCTAAAATAATAAAAGAAATTCAAAAAATCTGGCAGCACTTTCTTCTTTCTACCTTACTAAATGAAATATCTGCATAAAGACAGCACAAAGATTTAGAGTTATGTTTAATTCAATATATTAACATTTTTCTATCTGTGTTATCTATACAATCTACAGCTTTTTAGCTCATGTAATAGAGCAAAGAAGCATAGCATGTTAGAGCAGAATCTAAACTTGTATTACTACATGGAAGACTTTGGTTCTTTGAAAAGAAACACAAATAACCATTTTCTTCTACACAGCATCAGTGAGTTTCTTCACTGAGAAAAATCAACAAGACAAAACACTGATGCCTGAATTCTGGATTTAAACACAGAGCTGTGGTTTGCATACAGTTGCCTCTGAACAGAATTCAGTCCTATAAGCACAACTACTCATAACAGATCACTTGGAAGTGCAATAATTTTGTTTCTAAATCAACTCTTCAGACTAAAGGGTGAGAATTTACTGAGCACAGCTTCTTCCTTCTTAGCTTCTGATTTAAAAGCCCTTTACAGAACATTTGTTCAGAACACTGTAGAGCTCAACATCATTATACCAAATACCTGATTTTCCTCCTCAAGCACACTATTTACCATTTGATGTTGATAGAATTCTTCAACACAGAATCAGCTGTGATGCTCATTATGAAAACTGTCAGATACGCTGTTATACTGAGTGACAATCATATCATTTTAAAATAACATTAAAATATTTAGATTAAATGGAAGAAAAAGTGTGATGTAATAAGTCAAGGAAATGAGAAAAATTTGTTATCTACCTCTTTTCAAACACACTAATTTTCAGAGCATCTACAGTTATCTCTAGATCAAAAGGAAACAGATTAACGTTTCTCTAGTCATTTCTAATGCCTCAGCTTTTAAAGCTTAGTAACATTATGAGGCTGCATTATGAGGTTTTGCAGCATTTTATCTGTGATATTGCTGGGGAGTCTGGTAACAAAACAGAATGCTATAATGACCAATCCACAGAGTTAGAACTAAAACCTTCTCTTTCATTCTGAAAAATTTCTTGTTCAAAACTTCTACAGCAAAAAAAAAAAAAAAAGGAAACAAAGTCTCTTATGCAGCAAAAATACTAAAGACAAATTAATTTGCTTTTATGCTCTGATTTTCATGACTGAGAACAGAATTATAAATAAATACAATTCTGACAGTTTTTCAGAATATCAGTACTGTACAGAGCATTTGTACAGCAAAATGTAAAACGTCTTAAAGCTTTAAGGCACATTTCTTAAGAAGCAGGACAAATAAGTTCAGCCAAATGGTAAGGCAGAAAACAGCACCACTGAACTACATGCCTCAGCTCTACTTTGAGCAACTTCGGCCAAAACAAGCTGGCACTGCTACAGTCCTGCCCTATCCCAGTGCCTGCAATGCTCTTCCCTCTGCACACACACATGTTCTCTGCAGGCCTGCAGACTGAAAAGGGAAGTGAATTTGGTTGGACAGTGAATAAATTTCTTGTCATGCAATTTTTCCGCTAGATAAATTTCCCAGTCTATTTCACTATGAAACTTCTGTGGTCTATGAGAAAGAACTGTGCAAGAGCAGGAACAAGTGGAGGGAAGGTTACAGCTACCACAAAGCACCAATGGCTCAAACTGTAGCCTATGCCTTTATTTTTTTCTTAGCTAGTGGAACATCAGCTGCCACCAAAGCAGAGAATTAGACAGCCCCCAATTGGCACTGTGCACCCTCATCACATCAGCACCTGTGGGCAACTCAGGACACAGGGCAGTGTCCTGTAAGGAGAGTCAGAAGAGAGCAATGACAGTCATTTAAGGGCAATTATGGAACAGTAAAAAGGAAACAGGAATGAAGATCACTTATATACAGGTCTCATATACAGGAGTTTTCTTCTTCAAAAGTTTGTTGGCAAGTATCAGCCTTTAAACCATACGAAGCACAGACAATTCAAATCATTTTATACAGCCAAGGTAGTAGATCTCTGCACCCACGTGCATCTATATCTCCAAACAGGTCGAAAGGAGATTTTCAGCTTGAGCAGCACTGTATTTACTCACGATTTTCAACTGCAATGTCTAAAGCATTTTAATATTCTTCTTTGATTCTAAACTATTCATTATATCATATGAATGGCGATTTTCAGTCAAGGATCTCAAAACACATTCCTGAAGTTGGTACACCTAGCATTTATACAAAACATTTAACAAAAATAAGGCACAAATATTAACAGTATCAGATACCAGATAAAAAAAGTTTGTGCGTGAAATAATCGTATTTCTGGATAGCAACCTATAAGCACTTGCAACGAGATCAACATCAACCTAACTAAATCAGCTCTGCAGCTAACATTACATGGCAAGAACTTTCAAAGATACAACACCTTAGAAGCAAGACTTCATCAAAAAACATGAGACAGTCATGATGTGAAGCTACCAATTCCTTTTGCCTCTTTTCAACTATATTACATTTTCTAGAATAATAAGTAGTGTTTTCCCTTTAGATAGTTCACTAGCCTGCACTACGAAATATATTTCTTATTCTAATACCAGATTTGCTGCCAACTAGTCCCAACACAATCTGCATTACAATACACCTACTATGTTTTCTGCCTATTGGTTTATTTTTTCTTCAAAATATTAATAGAATTATTCCTAGGCAATCAAGAAATAGGTTTTCTTACAGTTTGCTCTTCTTGTTTGAGAGTTGATACCTTTGCTCCCTATCCACAACCTCCTGCACTTTGCCTGGTCTTCTGCACAGGCTGCTTGAGATGCTCTCAGCATCTGGTTGCAAAGTGTAACAAGCACACACTGCTTCTCAGCTGTCACCAGGCCAAACAAGTGTTAGCAGCAGCTTCTCCTCCTTGTCTTTGACAGCCAAAACTTGGGCACACTTGTTCTAGCAACTTAGTATTTCAAACAGATTCTATCTTTATAGGATTTGGTGTTGAAATTTGCTACTGCAATCTAAAGTTGCAAGGAACAAACCAAAAACATAAGCAACTTGAATAAAGGTTACAAAAATCAGAATTATCGATAATAAAGCATTGTTAATAATACAACTAGCAATAGAAGAAAAGCATTTTGTACAAATAGACACAGAATTAAGCTAAAACCAAATGCAGGCTTGCAGGCATTAACACATCTAAGCCACTGGCTTCTTGAAAACAAGGGCAAAGCTACAGCCAAGGAATTGGTAAAATAAAGCTACCAAAGAAAATTGCATCAGCACACTCCAAAATGCTGCTGCTTCTCACAGGGACATGGAACACAACAGCTCAAAGATCTAAGCTTGCAGTTGCCAGAATAAAAGACCAAGGACAAAACCTATAGAAAAGTAAGTGTCCCAGTGAAAAGGAAACTATTTTCCATGCCACTTCAGCATACCATAAAGAATTACAAAACTATGAGATGCTCCTATTCAGTGAAATATTAAGAACAATTTTAAAGCATTTCTTTGCTTAACACAAATAAAATCTGGGGGTTTTGGTAAATTTCAATGCCTGAAACAGCTCTGATTGTGTACAATACATAGGGCATGAGGCTACATTTGCAATCGTTTTCTGTGGTTGATGAAACCCTCAGCTGCAAAAGCTATCTAGTGCCATGGAGAGCCAAGGACTGCAACCATTTGGTTTAATGGTTTTCATTATTTTTCTATAAATGAGAAAAAAAGCAAGGAAATACACGTAACAGTAGAATGCAACCACTAGAAGGGTAGAGAATACACATCTTGTTCCCTCTGCATTGAAGCTGGGAAACCAGGATATGACTGAAATGCTCTCTCTGCCTTCTAGTCTCCAGCTACAGGATCCAGGAAGGTCTGGATAGAGGACCATAGCACAGGCCTGTGTAATGGACAACGAGTTTTTAAGGACAAGAGACAGAAGTAACAGGAAGCTGCTCTACAGTCTTAATAATGAAAGGAACTCTAGCAGCTTGTCATATTGAATAGAAGACTATTATAAAAAGGAGATACCAAGATGAAATCTTTCCTTGAACAGCGACCCAGTATAAGTTTTATTACCTCCCTGCCTCACACCCTTAGCATCCAAGAGAAACTGCGTTAATCAACTCCAGTAGAAGTTTTTGGAACACGCATTTCTGGTTACTCTGCTTGTAATTTGAATGTCCTTGGTTATTTATCTAGTGACTTTAAAAAAAAATAAATAACTCAAGCTAGTACTTTAAATATATGAGGTGATTCAAAGAAACACAGTATAAATGATGAGCTAAGCAATGAGTAACAAGTTAACAAAATGCATTAAATTCGGGGGTTTAATCTTTTTTGTATCCCTTGACATAAACAATGTATATACTGTAAAGACAGCATACAACTATTGTGTTTTACAAAGCTCATAGCTTCCTATGAGCTTATTACAAAGCTGACTGGAAAGTATACCTTTCTTAATAAAAGAAATAGCAGTGCAGTGTTAATTGTATGCTTACAGGCAAATGTTCCTGTCATCAGACTACTGGCTCCAAAACCCACGTCAGGCTTATTTTAGTTCATGCCAGTTGCATTTTGAATAGGCAAAGACAGCTACAGCTAATAACTCCTTTCAGGAAAAGAATGCATTCAAGACTTTCATTGCTGCTACTCTGCCTAGCTTATCCAATCTGGATTAAATAACAAGTTAGCATGAATTAATATAAGATCTGTAAGTCATGTGTGTATATGTGCACCATAAAAATAGTCATCAAAAAAGATCTATATCACTGAATATGTTATCAATTACCTGAAGTCTCTATTCTGAAATACAAAGTTACATCATCACAACAAATTTAGAGAGAGATCTATTAAAACCATGGGCAGAAAAAAAGCAGGTGCTTCCAAAAATCTAGGAAGATTTTTTCCTGCAATTGTAGTTTTAAAAAAATGTTTCTTGAAGATGAAATTAATACTCCCTATACAGTCCTATAACCCGTGAAGGAACTTCTCGACCCTTACTCCAAGAAGTTCACAGGGCCAAAATGACAAAAGTTTCAGCATACTCCTTTGCAAATTCTGTCCCACAGAAACATTCAGGATCCAGCTAAGGTAATGAATTTCACCAGTCAAAAACATCCAGTGTGAACCAGCTCATGATGGACCAAGAGCGAACATTTTCACGCATACCTGAAATGCCACCACGTCTGGTAACTTCATTTGCACGTCAGTGTTCGCAGAGGAATTGGGAGTCTTAAGTACTTTGCTTTCTGCCAAGGTTTTAAAGTACAGAAGGACAACATAAAGTGAGAGAAGTGTTATAATCCAAGTAAAGTATGTATGCGATATCCTGAAATCCTGATTGAAAAGCAAGAGGCTGATCAGTTCAGTTTCTTTATATAGTAGCCTTTTTTTTTTTTTAAGCTGTATATGAATAAATTTCTTTGTATTTAAAAAGTTACAGATTTTGAGATTTTTCTATCTAATATTCACATCATTTTAAATTAAGATGGAGTACAGGGATGACAACACCAGGGAAAATTTCCAAAGCTTTAACTTCTCACCATTCTATCATCACCTCAAAGTCAATTTTCACCTTTTTCACTGGCTGAATTTGTTATCTTACATTTTGCTTTGGGGCTCGCGTGTTCTAGCAGTATGGCAGTACTGGATTACAAGAATACTGACAAGTCTGTTCACTAAAAATGAGCAATGGCTGTATTACAATCTGTAATATCTAGAAAGAAAAGGAAAAGCAAACCTGACAGAGCACACTTATTTGTTAATTACACGTGGCTTCCAAATGCTCATACATCAACAGGCTAATGAGTAAAGCCAAGCCTGAAGTTGCGTGTGGAGATTTTTGACACAGGGTGGTTCGGTTGTTGTTGTTTTTCCACTCCTTATAACACAGACAGGACCCAAAGAATCAAATGCAGATCAGGGCTTAATATTTAGTATGAATGAACCAGCATAGTATCTTAACTACTGCACAGGAATAGCAGAGCTGCCAGTTAGGAAAATTTATGGTGTGAGCTAAAAGATCATAAACCAAAACAAACACATCACATAAACTAGACCTAAACGGCATATTACAGAACTTTGTATGCATTCAAAACAGAAACAAGAAATCAGTAACCAAGTGCAAAGTAACCTGCATTTCAATGAAGATGAGGTGCAGGAAAATCTACAAACCATTGAAACCCCCAGTCACTAACAGAGGAGATACCAATGACATTAAGAATGGCAAGAGTATTACACACTCCTCTCTTCTTTCATGCAAACCTGGAAAATAAGTTTCATTAAAAAATCCTGCCTAACATCTTTAAGGAATTGAGTATTTAGCTCTTCAATCACTTTTTTCAAGACATGGTTGAATAGTTTATCTCGCTGTGCAGTTTACATCTTTCATTTCTGATAACAAAGACCACACACAAATTGAGAGAAAGTATTTCAAATATCAGGACAAAACACCATTCTTTTGTGTTTGTTTTTTTTTTTTCTAATGAAAGTGAGGATTAAAAAAGAAGACAAAACAATGTCCACCTTATTCATCCATGATTTCTGCACTAACAGATTTAATGAATGATCAGCACATAACAAATGAATCAATGGAGACCTTAAAAATTAATATCACATACATATGATCCAAAAACACAAGTGATCATTCAATTTGCCAAAAGTTGCACAGCATGAGGTGTTTTGACACAGAGAGAAGACTGAAAGACTTTTGGTTACATTAACAAAATGACTGAAGATGTTTCTTTGGATTTTAAACTCCAAAGAATCCTTTCAAACTATTCAGCTGGAACATCCCAATACATCATTCATATCTTAATTCTTTTCCCACAAGAGTTCTCTATAATAGCAGTTAAACAACTTCAGTGCATCACTATTAACCTTCCTATTTACATTTCTGACACAGGCCAAAGACACTAAAACATCAGAAAGGTCAGTCTGGCATAACACCCTTCTTAATGATGGTAACTTATATTCTTGATCACCAATGTTACGTAAGGACATTTTTGTAATTACAAGATGAAACCATTCTTCCTTCTACTTGTATATTTTTCTCCTTTTAATATGACATTGCTGTTTCTCCAATTATTTCTTCCTATCTTTTGAAGCTATGAATATATATCCATATATTCTTCTATTTCTGTTTTACTGTCCACGGCACTTCAAAACAAGCCCCAACCACTCTAGAAGATCCGTTCCGTCCTTTCACTATTATTGTATTTAACAACCTTGATTTTCAAATGACAAGACACTCAAGACACTTTCAAGCAGCTTAAGAAAATTATGAAGTCCCTCAGTTTTTAAAGCCCCTAAAAATATCCAGGGTAGGTGTCAAACCTTGTACTACTACTATCAGTAACCTTACTTTTCTCTTTAAGCATTCATGAGTTCCCAGAAAGGGATTCAGACATCATTATTAAAAAAATGACAACTACAACCAAATGCATATTAAAAAGAAAACGTGCCTTCCAATAACCCATGGCTTCTACTACTGAAAGTAGCATATTAACAATAACAATTTTAGAAGTTTGTTTGCATACAAACAAACAAATAAATAAAACTCCCACGTTGGGCTGTAGCACATTGATTCATTAACAAAATCATGTTAATGCAGAGTTTTCTCAAATGACTTATCTACTAATTCATTTACTGGCCAGCCTGCACAGGGTCCTGGGCAGCCTGATCTATTGGGTGGCATCCCTGCCCACAGCAGGGAGTTCAGACTAGATGATCTTTAAGGTCACTTCTAATCCAAGCCATTCTATGAATGGAATCACCTACTAACACAGCCAGTTTCTTCCCAAAACATGGCTGTCAAAATGCCTCCTTCCATAGAAATTGTGACATGATTCACAGCTTCTACATTCTGAGGCTTAGAGGACTCCCTAACACTCACTTTCTCCTGCCTCGCAAAGGCATGAGAATATTTGCATGTTTTGTAACCATAAATGGAACATCACTCATGGTAACTATTTATTCAACTGTGATTTTTCCTCTTTTTTTTTTTTTCTCATACGTGAGCCAAGAAGCAGTTAATGATGACAACCACACCAGGGTATCTAAGTTAACACCTTACTGATACAAACAGAGCAGCTCACACCTCTCGCAGCCATTGTTCCACTTTCTCCATAATCTCACGTAGACATCTCTGCTTTCAGTACAGGTTCTGAGGTTTTCAGCAGAGATGTAACAGCTAGGGGGACTGACGGCAGGGCTAGTGGGGAGATAAGCTAGAGGAAAACAAGGTCGCAGATTGAGCGAGGTGTCAGTAAGCAATGCTGCTGCTTAGCAGATCAATCTCAGTACTGGTATAGGAGTATACATCTAAAGTACCTGTTCAGGACTATCTCTACAGATTAAAAAAAACTACAGTACAGGGTAGGAGGCACATGTCATGTAACAGGAACAAACGTGGATGCAAAATATTGCTGCTATATGTCAGACTTTGGAATCATCCTCTTTGTCATACAAAGAATGAATGATAGCTTAATTTCAGCTATTGTAATTATTAGAAACTTCTTTTAAAGGATAACTGAGATCAAAACTGTGCTGTTGGCAACCACCACCAGCTGACGCACAGCAGAAGTTTTACACTATTTTCTTAACTCTACCATACCAGTACTTAGAGGTGCCATCCACAAAACCAGAGCTCGAGCACCACACTTATCAGCAGGGTGTGGGAAGCCAGACCCAAGCCACTGCCGTCAAGAGCAGGAAACAGCCAGCACCCTTTGGTTGCTGAGGTCAATGCCTCACCAAGCGAGGCGCAGGCACGACGGGCAACGTGAATGCCCTGTCAGCGTTCACCTTGCCGTAGGCCTGGCCTTTTAACGCAGGTGTGCCTGCAAAAGGCACAAGCCTCAGGAATGCAGAGTCATATGCACCTCGTGCTACTGTTAGGCCACAGGTTTAAACTCAGCAATGGACGCAGCCACGAGCCACCGGGACGCTTATGCGCACGAGGCCCAGGACAGCTCGCTGCTCTGCTCCCGGGCAGGCGGGCAGGCACGGCGAACTGCCGGGGCACGCATATCTCGCCGTCCCGGGGCTCAGGCCGAGTTCTGCCGCTGAGGGGAGCCTGATGCCCGCGCCGCGCTCCCAGCGCTGAGGCGGAGGCCGGCGGCGCGCAGCGGAGCCCCTGCGCCGCGAGCACCGGGGGCAGCCCGAGCCCGCCGAGCCTCCCGCGGCCATCCTCCTCCACGCCCGGCGGGGAGAAAAAGCGGGGACTTCCCACAGGAAGCCGTGGCGAGGCGCCGACGAGAAGAGGAGGCGCGGGGGTGAGCGCTCCGCGGCGGGCGGCCGCCCCTACCTGCTGCGCCGGGGGGAGGCTCCATCTGCGGCTCCACGCTACGCCCGCAGCCGCGCACCCTACGTGGCCCGCCCCGAGCCGCTGCCGCGCAGGCGCGGACCAACCCTCTGCGCACCCCCGATGAGGGCACAGGGCGGCGGCGGCGCGCGTAGGGGAAGGCGGGAAGGGCGGGAAGAGGGGGGAGGGCTGAGGGAGCCTGCAGGACACGCGCCTTGGAGCGCGGGTTTGCGTTTGCGTGTCCGCAGGGATGAGGGGCTGTGAGCGGTGCTGAGGTGGTTTAGTTACTCGTCCCTGGAAGTCTCCTGGAGCAGAGGATATCAGCTTCTCCAGGAGCTCTAGGCAGTGAGAAGATGATGAGAATTACGGGAGTGGCTGCCTTCATTGGTTAGTTGTTTTGCATCCGTTAAGAAAGAGCTTCCTGTTTAAGTAGGGTTGCTGAAGAAAAATCACACATTAGGAGGTCTGCAGAAAGAATGCACGGTGCTTTCTGCATAACCATCGCTATGAGTTCATTGCAGTTCAGTCCGATATGTGGGTCCTCGTGGTCTGCCTCTGTGTTGAGACATATCTGAAGCATGCTTTAGGGGCAGAGGAATAATTCTGGTCTTTTATTTGTAAGTCTCTAGAATGTTTAACTGACCGGTCTATCTGTTAATGATATGGTCAGCCACTTTGAGGGGCAAAACACAGAATGAAAATCTGTAAGAAAGTACTAAGATCACTCTGAAAGTAATACGTAGTTCAGACATAATGAGAGCTGAAAGTCGAGGCTTTTTTAACAGAATTCAGAGTCCCAAAGAGCCTGCTCTCTTTTCCCACTAGCCTCCTCAACTGTTTTGGCAGGTGAGTGGTATGAAAAATCAGTCTATCTAAACACCAGCCTCTTATATGAGGTGGCAAAAATTCTTCCTCAGTGTAGCATTTCCTCTGTAATCCTGCATTGTTACTTCGTGCTCAGTGCGAATGAGCTGAGCGTTAAACATTACATTCTCAGGTAAGTAAGAAGTCCAGGAGTCTTCCTCAAACACCACATAAGCCTTGTGTGCCTCTGGAAGATAACAACAGAAGCAATTTAGAAAAACTCAATGGGATCACAATTTCAGGTTGTTTATTTTAAAAATAATTATCATTTAAATAGAGATCTGACTTTCAAATTCACAGTTTTTTGTTTGCTTACTTGGTGTCTTTTCAGATATATATGATTTCCCCATATGATAATTCAGTGCTTTTATTTGAAAATGGATTATTTTAACTTGAGGCCACACTAAAAGCTAAGTTCTTCATGCCAAAGCATTCACAGAAATTAGTAGAGCGTGATGTAGGCAAAATCTTCCACACGATTGCCTTTGGCTTTACTGATTTAGCGTATTTCTGTTATAGAGCCTTAAGTGTCTCTGTGGTGTTTTGTTTTTATACCACGAGTTTGTTCTCATTTTTTAGGGTAGAATATGGATATTATAATTGTTTTTGGTAATATTAAACTATACCACTTTCAGTTGATATTTATACACCAATTTGATACTTTTTGAATAGGGCTGTGAAAATGCAGCATATCCTTTTTTTGTTTGTTTTATTTTAAAGGATTTTGGCGTATGCTTCTTCCGCAATGAATGCAAGTGTTGGGAAGGAAAAAAAAGCCAATTTGCAAAGAGTGACATATATGCAACAAGAAAATACAAAACAAAAACCCCACATGATACGAAAAGGAGCTTACAACGTGAGATCTGAAAACTTAAAACAGTAAGTTGAAATCAATAAAAATTAAATAGTTGAAGTTAGTCTTCTTTGCCAATCTTAGACTTTTGGTTGTTGGTGTCTACAGATGCCCTGCAGAATGAGAACTACAAAGATTTATTTAAATTGAAGACCTTTGAACTTCAATTTCTGCTTTAGGTATTGTGTTAATTTGATTGTTTTAGAGGTGGGATACTTGGCTAGAGACAACTTCTCTTTCAATTGGTATTTCGGTTTTTTGATGAAGACGATAGATACAAAAAGAAATATCCATCAACTTTGTAACCTGGACAACCTGTCCTACCCTGCTGCGGAAGTGCTGTCAGGCCTGGAAAGCGATGAAAAATTGCTAAAAATTCTGCAATTCCATTTTTCGCATATGTCAGAAGAAAATGTTGAATGCTAAGAAAAAGCGACGTCTTTGTGAATAAAAAACAAATAGAAATGAAAAAATAATGATAGAAAAACTTTCTTCTGGATATGGAAAATAGGTTTTGAGTGAGAGAATATACAAGTGTGGATCTGAAAATAGACTTATTCTATTTGGAATTATTATAAACTCTTGGAAATGAGAAAGTATTGGAAAAAAATGTCATACAGTTTATAGAAATCTTGACAAATAAACAAATGAGACTGACATTATGGATAACAGAAACAACATAACTAAGACACTAAGACATAAACCATCTAGAAAGAGGCTTTAAATTAAAAGAAATAGACTTAGGAGTCCGTGGTGGTGGCTGGATATGGTTGGCACAGTGACTGAGTTCTGTCGCAGACAGAAAAGAGGAGGTTACAATGTAAGAAATGTGATAAAAGCCATGTCAAGAATTTTAGTAGATGGATAAAAAAGCTAACTGCTTTGTAAGTACATATTTTAGACATTTTTATATGCAGAGTGGATGTAAGTAAGATCAACATTGTGTGTATAGAGAAAAGATTTACTGCCGTCCTTCAGGTGGAAGTGCCGGTTACATGAGCTCCATTCTGTAAGAGCACCTGAGAGTAAGACGGGATAGTTCCATTAGAACAACAACAAAAGGAAAGTGGATATCACTGGTTATCACATAACAAGAAGCCCTACTTGCATCTTATCGCTAGGGAGAGTTTTGAAATGACATTCAGAGAATATAATTTGTGTTTAGTCAGATCTTTTAAAGTATGAATCTTGTATTGTTCTGCAGTCCTGTGAAGTTACGATGCCATGCAGTGGACTTTTTCTTTGCAGTCCACTGATGGAAGATAGTACTGTAAGCTTAACTTAATTACCATACTGGTATCTGCTCCTGTTTATTCTGTGCTACATGCATCATTTCTTCAATACTGTCTCCCAGATCTTATATCTACGAGGAAAACTGCCATGTAATCTTTCATGCAGTTAATTCCCTCAGAGTAAAATATTGGGTACTCTTGTGAAGAGTCTCATGATTGTGGTCGCGGTTTTCTGCATTGATTACTACAGCGGGGAAACTCCTGTAATTCCCATTATAGTCCTGAAGGATGCATGATGCATGAGGCAATGGTGATGTTTGATTTTCAGCAGTTCTCAAAAAATTAAAAATAGTCATAAGTAGTGCTGGATTGCAGTCAATTCTGTGTTTCTGAGATTCATATTGTCATTTGATTAGTTAATTGCCCATTTTCAAAGGTGTGAACATATTTTCACACATCAACCAAGACTGTGTTAACAATGAAACTATAAATAACAATAGAGATGAAATATTTATCGCACAAGTCTCTGCACCACGTTCTTACCAGATAAAGAGTCTCTATCTGTCTGCACGCAGGTGTGATTTTTTTTTTTTTAAAGTCCAAACAATAGCCTTGTTAGTTCAAATGAATATTTTCAAATGGCACCTCTTCAACGTGTTTGCTGTTAACATTTTTGATCTTGTTACATGAAATGTAACTTACAGTAGGAGGCTGTGATTCTTTGCTACGCTTACTCGTGTGAAATAAATATTCACTGATAGGTGAGAGATGTGAGGGAGTTTTAAATGAGAATTAACATCTAGAATCAAAGGAAACATTCTCTTCTCTGCTTAAGAGAGGTAGACTCTTACAAAAGTCACTATAAGGTTGTCTAAGCCTACATGCCTGTGAAGTTACAAATGGGACTGTTGGAACGATATCTTCACAATGCAAGCACTGTGTTACTTTGGATTCTCTCTTGCTCCAAGAACTGCAGTTGACATGTCATCAGGTGGCAAGCTCTCCAGTGGCACTATTTCCAGGCCTCTGTGCCTTGTCTCTTATCCCTTCTTCAAATATGAAACCTTTTCCTTTGTGAGGTTGGCCTTTCTACTCATGTTGTAGGGAAGTTGGAAGCATCTTGTCAGGGTGACTACTTCCCATCATTCCTGTTGTCCTAGCAAGAAGTCACTGAAGTAGTATCTAGGGAACTGGCCATCTGCTCAACTAGAAAGAGTGCATCAAATAATAATTACGTTTACCAGTTACTACTAGATATAGTTGCCAGAGAGAAAAACACTTTGATTTCCTTCCTTCTGCAAAGTCTGCGTAGAGCAGCACAGTCTTTCACTGACTTTTGTTTCCTTAAAACTTCCTCTTTTGTCTCAACAAATTCAGATATAACCCAAAGCTAAATATACCGGATACAGATGACTGGATCAACATATAGATTTTCGAATAATAGTAATTCAGTACTATGAGAAGAAAGTGAAGTTCCTCTACTAAAATGAGACAGTCTTTATAATCTGTCATCATTTGATCTATCCTACTTACAAGAACAATGATTTTTCAGAGTGTGCACAGGGTGAGTACATTCACGTCAATTGTAGGGCAACTCTCAATTGCACTGGAGGTTTAATTTAGACATATTTGCTACTTTGTTTTCCTTCCTTCCTGCTTAGTTCTCTTTCTGTTCATCATTTTCTTTAAAAAGCTACTTAGCAGTTTTTCTGCTTTATACTTCCACTTTTTTTTTTTTTTTTTTAATACCATAGAGAGAAGAGCTACTTCCTGATGTTAAATGGATGAGAATATCTTTACGTGGGTGAGCTCTGAAGTTCAAAGCTGCTTTCCAATCTATTCCTCAACATCCATGCATTATAACTCCATCATTGGTGTTGGGATTTGTTAGTGGCATAGAGTGAAGAAACATAGACCATTAATAGCTGAAAGATACTGTGATTGACTTTTTTAAATGTTTTTAATAATTAAATATATTCAGTATGCTTTCTTGTTACAAATTCCAACTTGACATTTAAAGACAGATAAACAGGATGTGAGTAGAAGATGCATTTCCTTCCATGACTGATATAATCAAAACATGTTTTTACAGAAGATTTTTCACTCCCTTTAGTTTTCAGGTGTTTAAGGGTGATGCGACAATAATAATGCTGAACACTTAGCATCTCCATATTCACCAGTCTGGAAAATTCAATCTGACTTCAACTGCTGTGCTAGAGAACCTCAACTGACCAGCACAGATTCTATGATTTATACTTACTGAGATAGGGACATTATCAAAAAATAGTATTGGCAGTCACAAAACTCTATAACCTGATGTTCAGTAAGGATAAAAATGTCTCGTGCCCTTCTTTGTGTTCATTCATTGCTTTGGAAATAAACTTTTTAATTCATAGCATCTTACCTATGTTGGTCACTTATGTACTTGCCTATTTACAAGCATATGTGTATTGTTGAAGACAAGGTAATTATTTACATCAAACATTTTTGAGCAGTGAAATAATTTCTCATTGCAGTTGCAAATGAATGTGATATCTGTCCCTTCCTAATGCTCTTTATGTTCTTGTATGGTTTTATATCTGCTGTACTTTTATCTTCTGACGTTTATTTCAGTGTTAAGAGATCATTGAGTTCAGAGAGGGAAGGTCTGATTTCAAAACTCAGCTCTCAACTTATATTTCTCCATAATACGATTCTGGCATGTCTATTAGATGATTTCGACAATTCCAGTTCTGATGGTTTGTTGGTAAGGTGGCAGCAAGGGTTAATTGCAGTTAATGTGATAAACTATAGTGTGATTTTTAGAATCTTCTGATATTTTTCAAACTGATTAATGTTACATTTTAATACACAGATCCAACTGAAAGCTGGGAAGACATATTGCAGTCAACTCCTGTTGGTTTTAGGTGATTATTAGGAGTCTGACAACTTCAAATTGACTCAAGTTGTTTCAAGTTGATTTCAAATCATTTGCTACAAAGCCTTTGATTAACCAAGCCTTAGCCTTGACAAAAATATCTTCAACCTTTGTTCACAACTGGGAGATGTATGAGGTTATATAATGTAATGAAGCTGTACACAAAAATGGATACTGGCTGGAAAAACTTGGCAAAATTTGTAAACAAATCTTATGAGATCTTGGAAGTGCTGGACAGTTCTGAAATTTCAGTAGCAATGAATGACAATTTTAACTTTTGCCAAAGGGCAGCTGGCAGTTGAATGCAAGTAGTATGATTCAGGATATCATAGTCAGTCTGTTTGCTCAGGTAAATAAAAGTTTAAGGTATTACTTGTATTTCTTGACTTCATAGCAAGCTCCAATTTGGAATTATAGATTTTTCACAAATACTTCTATTATTTGCCTATATTCTGCATTAGTGTGATCATAGCACATTGCTAATGTATCAATTTGTCAAAATCAGGGTTTGGGATCTGTTTCTTCAGGCATCTGCATATCTATTTGAGAAATCCCACTGTGTAAATGATTGAGAAGACAACTGGAGGCAAAAAAAAAAAAGCATTACAAATCCTGTATTCAGTATGAACAAATCTACTGCTTGTCTTTTAACACTGTGTACATAATACAGGTCAAAAATAATTTATGTACTTTACATATAGGTATATAATTCTTTTTTGTAAATATCCCATAGAATTGGGAAAGGAACGTGGCACCAAAGAAGATATAATTGTACAGAAACGTGTAAAAGAAAGTGTAACTAAGGTTCAGTTTTCTGTCATGTTTTTACATAACCAAGTCTAAGTGTTAATCAACTCAGAAGAACAGGGATTTTTGGTCAGGCTATTTCAAACTGATGTTTCTTGACAGTTTTTTTACCCCACTTTTTATAACACCTTTTATTTAGTTTAAGTGACTAATTCCGATTTTAGAGAAAAGAATACCCAATGCTCTAACCTCTCAGTAAGGTTCAGAAAACATCTCTGAGACTTCCCAGAAGTTCTACAGTGAAATTATGGAGGAGAAAAGTTTGTATTTCTGGTAAGTCAAAGGCTCAAAACAAAAAGAAATTCTTATAGAATAATTTATTATATTAATTATATAAATTAACATAGAGAGGATGTAAAGAGTAGAAAACCAGTGAAAACAGCCATACTCCAAATCCTTCTGTGTTTTACTTTGAATGGAAATTTGGAACTATGACTAAATCCACCTTAGAGGATAAATCAACTTTTTTTTTTTTTTTCCCAAACACTGTGTTCTATAGTATAAACATGTAAATCTCCCTATTGTAATTTATATTCAATAAAATAAAAAAATAAAATAAAATAAAAAAATGATGGAAGAATGTGATGAATCAATCCTCACTCTGGGATAAGCTGAAAGGGGTAGATGAAGTTTGGATTTTGAAACAGAACAGCAGGTAATGATTTATGAACAAGATTTTAACTCTTGTGTTCTAAAAAAAAAAAATTGCAGTTGTAATTTCAGCATAATTCTTTTTCACTTGTCTGTGCTGAATAATGTTGGTAGCATGTATAGAAAAAAAGGTTTTGTTTGTTTTGATGGTTCTTTCTCTCTGTTTAGAAAAGGAGATTTTACACTGTGAAAATTTGCTTAGCTCAGTGTTTATTTCCTCAGAAAATCATAGCAAAATTGAGACAGTCAAGTTAGCTAGAGAAATTAGCACTTCTTTTACCTCTTTATGGATTCCTCATTCATCTTTCTTTCATTGCTATTTCATGCATAAAAATGTTTATTACTCTTTTCCTTTCTATTGCATCTGTGACAGCTTGGCACTTTGTAATGTGTAAGGATCACTTTTTGCCAATTTTAGTGGGAGAAGAAGCAGTATGTTGCAAAACTTGATCTAACATCTCTGGCAAATGTTATTCTTATGGTTCCAATTTCCAGTGCATTGGTTCAGTTGTAACTGAGAGTAAATAAGTGACTTTGTCATTCAGCTCCTGCATTCCTTGAATTGACTAGAAATTAAGACTCGATCATGGAAAAAAAAAGATGGAAAAGTTTGGATTTACTTTTTTATTATTTTAAGCTCATGCTGTGGTCTGCACAAGCAGAAACACATAGAATCATAAAATCACTGAATCCTTAGAGATGCAAGGGCTCTTCAGAGGTTATCTAGTCCACTCTCCTGCAGTGATCAGGGTTTTCCACAGCTAGATCAGGTGCTCAGAGCCCTGTCCATCCTGACCTTGAATGTCTCCAGGGATGGGGACCGCCTCTCTGGGGAGCCAGTTCCAGTGCTTCACTACCTTCACTGTAAAGACTTTTTCCTTACATCCAACCTAAATATCCCCTCTCTTATTTTGAAATTATTTCCCCTTGTGCTATCACCACACACCCTGCTAAAGAGTCTGTGCTCCTCTTTCTTGTAGTTCTGCTTCGGATCAATCAAGGGCTGCTCTCGGGTCACCTCAGAGCCTTCTCTTCTGCAGGCTGAACAGCTCCAGTGCTCTCAGCCTTTCCTCATAAGAGAGGTGTTCCATCCCTTGGATTGCTTTTATGGCCCTCCTCTGGACATGCTCCAGCAGGTCTGTGTCTCCTGTACCGAGGACTCCACATTTGGACTTGTTTGCTACATATTTAAGTGTCTAGAATGTCATGATGCTCTAGCATGTTTCGTATTAATTTCAGATGTAGACTTCTTTGAAAGACAGAGCTATTAGCTCTACCCTGCGTAAGTGCAAGCAAAGACCTTGTAGGAAGATGTAACCAGTTCTTCTTGGCAGTTTAAGCCCCGTTCTTTTTCTTACCTTGTTTGCAACAGAAATAGAAATAAAAGAATTGTTCCAAAGATTATACTACTGCACGTAGATTTTTATAATTAAGATTGTTTCAAATAATGTAGTGTTAAAATTAAAATGACCATTCAGGTGGTAAAAATGCCTACCTACTGAATACAATTTGCTCTGAATTCTGTCTTACATAGCTGAAGTTCTGCCTGAGCTAAAGCCCAGTTAGAACATAAGAATAGAACAAACTTAATTATTTTTCCATCAGTGAACATATACTGTTTATTAACTTTCTATTCAGCAGCCATGTTCTTTGGGCCTAAAGAATTCAAAATGCCCACTTATGCATAATGTTTTCTCATGATTTCTTTCTATTGATGTAGCAAAAAATAAAACCCACAGCATACTGCCGCCTGCAAAATCTGAGTACCAACTAGGTTAGGCTCCTGCAGGCTTCTAGCTGAGGAGCTCTGTTCTTTTGACAGAGGCCTCTAGAGTGAAGGCCATGGAAGATACCTCAGGGAGACTTCCTGCTGGTGGTGAACCAGTGCTACGAAGCTGAGAAGCAGCTGCAGCGAGTGCTGCTCGCCAGCCTACCTGCTGGAGGTATGGGGCTGTGGTAGCACAGAGCCAGGGTGGAGGAAAGTGGCAGAATCTCTGCAGCACAGTCCTTGCCAGGTTAGGGAATGTGTAACAGAGCAGCTGTTGGATATGCAGTGACAGTTACCACAACCACCATGGCTTTGCTGGCTGACAGCATGTCTCCCAAAGGGGGGTAAAGCATGGGCTACTCTAATCAGATGTTCAGTCGGAGAAAAATGAACTTTCTGTCATTCAAGTCCTTGTGGGTACTGCAAAGAGAACAAAAGAGTACAGCCATTAAAAAAAGTCACTGACTACTGACCTGCCTGTCAATATGCATTAAAGAAATTTGATGCTGCTGCTGAGAAAGTATCAAATTTGCTTTGAAGAGCAATGCTAATGTCAATACGAAGTCAGTATTGGTGTTGATTTGTAACAATCATGTTGGAAATGAAGAGATGATTTTGTTATTTATTGCGAAGGATACTCATATTAACGGGAGAGAATCTGATGCTGAAATAGGGAGAGAAGAGAGGAGGGAAAAATTGGCAATTGTTGGTTTCAGACTTATTCTCAATGTAATATATTCCACAGGAGCAATTAGGCTCTGAAAATTGCATTAAACCCTGAGAAAGGATGAACTTACTGTCTCAATAGTTGCAAAGAGGTGCATTCAGTCTGACTCAGAAAGGAGCTGGAGTCCACAGTGAAGAGAGAGTGGCGAACACTAGCGTATCTTAGGCTTTGATTTACTGCATCTCATTGGACTTAGAAGCTGTATACCATAAAATTCTTTTTCTAGGAAGCATCTTCAAGGCCCCCCTTAGAAGACATGCACACACCAGTTACATTTCTGCAGACTTAAATTCATATCCTGTTTCAGAAAAAAAGTCTTTGTGGTCTCAGTTCAGCTTTTACTGTGTTTGATATACATCAGAAATACCCTTTTTCCTCCCAGCTTCTCACACATGATCAGTCAGAGGACAACAGTAATTCTGTAAGTGCTGTGCTATTCTGGCAAGATGTTTTTGCCATAAACTTCTTTAGCACTTTTTCTTTCTATTTGTCACTGTTCCATCACTTAATTCAGGCCACTTCTGACTTCAGCAGTAAAAAACTTGTAGTGTATGTAAACATGAACAATATTTGCTTAAAGCAAGAGTCCTTTATTTCTTTCCATTCCTTAGTCATGTATGAAGCATCTACATCTTTCTTGTTTTTTGACCATTAGTCGGAAAGCCATATAGACACTGGGGCCTTTGGGAAAGATTCTTCCTGTTTCTCACGTGAAACCAGGTCACTGCTCTTATTGATTTCTGAACTACCAGATGTTGTATGTATCAGTGTCAAGTTTTAGGTCTCTTCCTGGGTTGGTATTGGTGTGGAAGAACCCAGTATTTGGGTTGTGCAGGGGTGGAGGTTGGTGATTTTGCCATTAGAACTACCAGAGATCCAGAAGTACTCTCCTGTTTTTAAGTAACCAGACTTAGCATTGTTCAAATACATTTAGAAAGTAGAAAGTTCACTTGTATAGTGGTTTTTTTTCCTTCTTTTTGGTACTTCCAGCAGAAACTGAATAAAGGACTTACTTTTTTTCTTTTGCTATTTTATTATAGTTAGGATAATTCCTGGGATGTTGGTATTAGTGTTACACATCTTAGAGGAAAATAAAAAAGAAATTAAGAGAGAGAAGATTATTTTCTTGCAAAAATGCTGATGACTTATGAGAAAAATATCCATGGGGAAGTATATAAAACTATTAAGGTCTGTAAGAATGAAATAATATTTTCTTTAATACTTATATAAATAAATCAGAACTATAGAAAACTTTGAAGATTAATGAAAAGCTTTTAACTAAAACTGCACGAATTTCTGTCCAAATCTTATTGTAAGAGTTAAAGTTCTCACCCATATTTGCAAGGAAATACCTTATATTCTGCTAAACTGGTGCTATTTTTATATTACTGGAGAAACAAAATGATAAAGTTCATAAAACATTTTAGCTATTGAAAACTTAATAAAGGGTTTTAAGGTACCATGGATGGATTTAAAATGCAGCACTTGAGCCACTTGGGTTAGGTTTACTCTTTCAGATTTTACTGCTAAAGATTGACAACGTAATTGGTCACATGCTTACATTTGTTGTATGAATGAAACCTCAAATTCATTTCAGTTGAGTTAACTCCCTTGCCTAACAGCACAAGCTGGCACTGTGGATGCTTTTCTGCTATTATACTTAGTCGTTAAAAAGTATTCCAACAGTTATCACGTGACTTTCAAACTCAGTTCTTTCTGATCTTGGTCTGTGCCCTGCGGGGGCAATTCAATGCACCTTTGAGTTTCCCACTGTTTTTTTTGGAAATACTCTTCTTGTTGGCATGCTGTATTGAGGCATTTAAATGAAGTTACTTAAAGGTGCCAGACATGATGTTCAGGTTTGTGTTGATGTTTGGTTTATTAAAAGTTATGGAGAATCACAGCCTATGGGAAAAGAGACAATACAACCTCAACTGTCTCACAGTTCTAGTAATAAATCTGTACTGAACTTCACTACCGGAGCTGGGGTAGGAAAGAAGTGCTGCAGTCCTATGGAAAAAAATAGAAAGAAAACCAACAGATGCCCACTAATAGCCACACATTGTGTAGCACTGAATGCCATTCTGGCTGGGAAAACTATCTCCTCTCCATTGAACAGCA